CTGTCACTCCCTTCACATATAACATTTTCCTAGAGTATGACTACAGTTTTCCTCAATCAGCGAAAAAGTCACCCCAAATGGCTTATTGGAAAACATTGTGACATTGGTGAGGCTCATCCTGTTCTCACCTTACTTGACTCTGTGCCTTTGGTGTGTGTGCTTCTGTGGGGGTTTCTCCTGCTCTTCCCCCTGAAGCATATTTTGGGTCAGGGAAGTCTTCCTCTCAGCTCCCAGCCGCCTCTGGCTGCCCACAATGCTGACCGGCAGCGAGCAGTGTGAGCAGTGTTCGTGGCTTCCAGGCCTCAGAGGTGACGGTCTTCCCGGGCCACGCCATGGAATAACTATTTCCATTTCCCTTTCTTCCCACGCTAGTGTCTCTCTGGTCTGTGTAAGTGGCCCTTCCCACCCTGAATACCCAAATGACAAGGCTCTCTGAAATACTCTGCCCCTCTGAGAACCGCCCTTCCCTGCAGTAAACCACTGTCGCTGCATTGACTTTGATACAGATGGTCATTACTGCTCAAGGTCTCAAAACAGGCTCCGGAGACTCACAACCACCCTGTAAATCCAAGATTCTATTGCAAGGACTTCCTCAATAGCTTGCCGCGAAACAAAACACAATCATACTGACGCATCTGACCCAGGCCTCACGAGCTGTGGAAGCTAATTGTTTGGTCATTTCCTGTACTTGAAGCCTAAATGCTTCCTTTTCCAATAACAGACTCAGGAAAGCCTCAGTCAATGCGGTGAAATGAGGGCCCTCAAGGGCAAGCCTGTATTCAAAGAGCTCTCAGTGACAGTTTAGGCAGTGGGTGTGCAGGACTGAACTCAAGCTCCTAAAGCAGCCGCAGGCCTCTCCATGTGAGGAGTCTTGATCTTGGTTCTGTGTGCTCCTGGAGGGGCTGTGGCCTCCTACTCAGGCTGTTTTGAGCCCACGGCTTACAAGGAAGGGAGGCAGGTGTGGGGAGTGTGCTCTCAGAAGCCACCAAGGAGCCCAGGCTGCTGAGCATGACACCGAAGACCTTCAGCTTTCGTTCACCTTTTCTCTAGAGTAGCCCGGTGTTCCAGCCACACTAAGTCACTCTGCTCCTCTAACCCTTCCTCACTTTTCCGCACCTCCCTTCCATCTCCCTGCCTGAGGGTGCCCTCCCTCACTTCTCTGCCTGCTGACCACGATGATGTCACTTATCAGCCACATCCCTTCTTTATTTCTAAAATAGCTCAGGGGCTTAAATTTTTTTGCCTGGGTGGCTGCCAACAGCTGACACTCTCCAGATCTTCACGGCTGATCTCCTTTGACTCTGTCTTCTACCCACCAGCCACTGCAACTCACCTAAAACTAATCTGACCATCTTACTCCCTACCTGAATGTTTATTATTTCTTTCAGGGGCAAAGTAGAGTCTAAGATCATCAACATAAACATGAAGGTGAATTTTGATCCTCCTCCTGCCTGTCTCTGGCAATTTGTCCTCTGCCTCTTCTTGCCTGATAGTTTTCCCTCTCCTAAGGCCAAACTGTATAGGTTTCCCTCTTAGTTACTTTTCTCTCGTTGCTAGGACAAAATACCTGATGCCCAAAATTAAGGAAGAAAAGTTTATTTAGCTCCACAGTTTGTGGAGGTTTCAGTCCATACTTGGCTGGTTCCAAGGCAGAGTGGCACATGGCAGATGGCAAGCATTCATGGCAGCAAAACACAGCAAAAACAAGAGCAAAAGGGAGGAGCAGCAGCGGCAAGCAGCCTCTTTCTGCTCTTACATTGTATGCAAACTACCCAGCCCAGGGCAGGTGTAGCACTTACATCCATAATCCCAGTATTGGACCATGAATCAATCATAAACTATAGAAGCCTGCCCCAGGACTGCATTAGGATTTGGGGGGACATGCAGACACAAACCGTAACACCCTCCATATACCCCCTCTTGCCCCCTGCACTTCTGAATTTTTTCTCTTTCATGTCTTTGCCTAAGCTATCTGTATCAGTCAGGGTTTACTAGAGAAACAGATATAACACAAGATGTACAAATGTATAAGAAATTACAAGACTGGCTTACGACGGCCAGCCAGAATCAGATGAGAAAGTGTGCAGAAGGTGTCTACACACTGGAGACTGAAAGATTTAGTCCAAGGTCTCTTCTCACTGAAGTGTCCATGCAAGTCCATACAAAGAAGCTGACGGGTCTGCAATGAAAAGCTGAAGAGTCTACCCTGGAAGGCTGAAGGATCTGAGGCTGATGCTGAAGAGTCTGCACTAGAAGCCCGGAGATGATATCCAAGCTGAAGGTGAAGACTGGAGCTCCTCCAAAGAACTGAAATAGATCCATCCTTCCTCAAGTCCCCTTTATACCATCCCAACGACTGCTCTAGGGTAGGTCCTCTATACCCTAGGGTGTACAATTGCTGAGTCAACTTAATTGTTTCTAAACTTCTCAGATTGAGACAGTCAGTCAACCATTACACTCTCCTCCAAGAAACACTCCTACCCACAGCCTCAAAAATTTGTAGGAATACTCTACATATAGGGTGAGATAGTTTAGCTTGCTATGTCAACTTGGGAGCTGTCCAGGGGATGGGTAGGGCACACGTCTAGGTATGTCTGTGTGATCATGGAGGTGACCTTGGTTCTACATCTGGTCTTTGGCCCCTTCCTCTCTGTGCTGCTCCCCTGCTCTGCTTCCCGGGACCATGAACTGGGCAGCTTTTCTCCACCAGGCCCTTCCACCATGGTGTTCCTGGGAACAGGCAACCATGGACTGAACTCTCTGGAACCATCAGCCAACTTGTCCTCCTTTCCATTGTGGGTGTCAGGAACTGTGTTCTAGTTCTAGGAAAACAAATACACAGGATATGTATTTTTGGGAATGTATATTTCTAAATGTATATATTACAGGAATATCACATATAAGCACATAAGGCCCAATCACTATTTTCTGCATTTAGTCTGTTATTTTCTATTTAACTTTGCTCTATTTGAAATGACATTGTGTTCTAAGGGCATGGATCAGATCTGCTCTTCCCAAGGCTCCCCTGTCTACCATATGACACAGTAAATAAACTCAATAAAATATGTACTGAATAAAGAAACAAAAGATTTATCAAAATATGTTAATTATGTATACGTTTTATGTATCAGTCATACCTCAATAAAGTGGTTTTTATAAAGAAAAAGGACCATACACAATGTGTTTAAAAATGAATAAAAAGAATAGTAGAACCTGGGTGTGTAGCACATGTCTATAATCCTAGTACCAGGGAGGCTGAAGCAGGAGGATTGGAAGTTTGAGTCCCACTTGGGCAATTTAGTGAAAATAAAATAAAAACTGAAAAGGGTTCAAGATGTAGCTCAGTGCTAGAGTGTCCCTGGGTTTGCTCCCCAGTACTAAAAAAACAACAACAACAACAACAAAAAGTAGAAATACTTATTTTAAAAGTATTTTCCTCCATATACATATTTCAATAACTAGTGATTTATTTGGGTTAATCAATCTCTCCCTCTCTCTCTCTCTCTCTCTCTCTCTCTCTCTCTCTCTCTCTCTCTCCCTCTCTCTCTCTCGCTAGTGGTGATCCTGGGGGGGCAAAGCTAGTGCCTCAATGAACTCCCCTTTAATGTGTCAATTCTCAAACAGGTATGAAACCATCAGTCATCTCCACATTAGTGCGAATCACTTCAATCTGCTGAGCACTTGACTTTTTGCCATGCTGGAGTTTGACCCCAGGGCCTTCAGTGTGCTAGGAAAGCACCCTGCCCCTGAGCTATAGTAGCTGCCTATCTTATTTGAGTGCTCCTGGTAATACTAATTACTCTACGATCTGAAGCTGCCTTCACCTCTGCACTGTCTCTTGCAGCTGGCCTCTTGCACCAGCTTTGGGGTGGAAGCCAGAGGGCTCCAGAGGGAGGCTCTGGGGAAGGCAGGCAAGGCTCCCCTGCAGAGCCAGAGCCACAGCAAAGATGAAGATGCGCAGAGGCAGGGATGTTTGCCTGCAGAGCTCTGCCCTGGGTGGGCAATGCTCTTCTGAGCCTGACTTCTCCCCCTTGTAACGGTCTCTCCTCCCTCCTTCCCTCCCTTTTCGTTTCCATTTTTTTTTTGTACTAGGGATTGAACTAGGGCCTTCATGCCAAGCATATCGCTAGCCCCTTCTTGTATGCAAGTTCTCACTGAATTGCTCAGATGGCTTGCAATCCAGGACACTACCAGAGCTGGGTGATTGAGGGCCCATCTCTCACCTGAACGTGTGAATGAATGCTGGAGTGTGTGGTGTGGCCAGGACCTACGTCCACAGGAAGTGAGCTGATCTGGATTTACAGCTGCGGCCAGCCAGGAGGAAGCGTCAAGGTGCTCAGCCTCTGTTCAAACCCATGGAAGTCTTGCCCCTCCAAGTAGGGGAAGCCATCTGGTGTGGAGTTGGGCTGCTGCAGGCCAGGAGGTTCCCTTCAGGGAGAGAGTTGCTTCTGTTGCCCTCTAATGAGAAATTGCAGGTGTTTGTCTCTAGGGTAGGCCTGGGGAAAGGCAGGAGGTGCATGCTGGCAAGACCTGCAACTTCCTGTCAGCCACAGGCCGCAGGCCTGGAATTCTCAGGGCAGCAGCCAGGCAGGACTCACAGGGAGTGGCCACTTCCCCTCACGGGTCCTCCAGCCTCCCTCGACAGAAAGGCTGCGGAAACCGACCACACTCAGGAGCATCTGGAGGAAGGGGCACAGCAAGCGCTGCCCAGCTGTTCCTGCTGACAGAGGCCTCCGACCTCTTTCTACAGAAAAATGGTAGGGCCAGCTGACCCTGGGGGCAGGCCTGGGAGGAGGCACGTGCACCCTCCTCTTCAGTGGGCAGAGGTTTCACACCCTGCTTGCAGGGCCTCCTGGCCTGGTGTCGGCGAGGAGAGCTGCATACATGTGCTTTCTGAGCTGGGCACGGAGTGCTGGCTGAGCAGGCGCAACGTGCTGAGTTCAGCCCCCAGCACCCCACAACACAGATCAAACCCAACCAACCAGCCCATGTGTTCTTACCTTCCCGGAGCCAGAGCACAGCCCTGCTTTCTCCATGCCACGGCTGAGTAACACGAACAGGAGGAAGAGGAAGATTTCCCAGAGCGTTTGGGGCAGAAGAGCCTGAGGAGGACGTGGGACAGTGTGAGGGCCATAAATGCGTAGAAACAGATGGGAGGGTGCATGAGATCCATCACCGGCCTCACTCACCTGTGGCTGCGCCTGGGGTCCCCACGGAGCCACTGTGGCAAGCAGGGCCCTGCTCTGCGTAGCAGGGAGGGACTGTGTGCCGGTCCTCTGACAGTGCCGGCTTTTGAAAGCTGCAGTTTGTCTCCTCCAAGCTGCTCAAGCCCTGACTCTGTGATGCTGGTGGGGCTGAGAACTGGGCTTAGTCCTTTCCTGTGTGACAGCTGTGTCTCTGTTGGTGACAAAGGAAAGGAAGAGACGAGAAGCAGGATGGGGGGAGGAAGAGCAGAAGGTTAAAAAGAAAGGAAAGAAGAAGCTGGGGATACCGAAAAGGAGCAAACATTGGCAAGGGAATAATATACACAAATATCTATTTGGAAAAGGATCAACATATTTTTTCTTTCTTTTCATAGTACTGGTGCGGGGATTGAACCCAGGGCCTCAAACATGTCAGACAAGTCTATCATGGATCCTCACCCATCACCCTAAGAAATTTTTTCTTCTCTGACACATGGTCTCACTAGGTAGCCCAAGATGTCCCTGAATTCACTACATAGCTCAGTTGTCATAGAACTTGAAATCCTCCTGACTCAGCCTCCCAAGTGCTAGGATTACAGGTGTGCACCACCACACTTGGCTCCCAACATATTTTCTCCTTTAACTGTTTCTTCTCTTCGTGGTTTTCCTTTCCTTCTAAATCATCCATACAGTACTGAAGTTGTTCCCATTTAAAAGTATTCTAAACATATTTCTTTGCAAATAGTAAGGCCCTCCTATAAACATGAGTTTAGATAGGGACCACCCAAATAAATGTGGGATTTAGAGAAAGTACATTAATTTATCCCTTTACCGAACAAATATTGAGACTATTTATGTTCCAGGCCCTAAGCTTAGGAGCAATGCTCAATAAGATTGATAGAGGCCTTTGGGAGCATTCATTAGCGTTAGGCTCATCTATACACTCATACTTCATAATCCATTAGAATAAATGTCCTCTCTTGAAATCATAGCAGTAGTTCAATGGCAAATTAAAGTTTCCATCCCAAGGTTACATACAGGTAGGTGCTTCGTATAATTGCTTCATAATGACAAAATGATGATACTATTAAAATTCTGAGTACAGTTGGGGTAATTTCTTGAACTTTATAAGGCAATGGAAAAAATAAATTTCTATCAAGAATATTAGAAAAAGCTATCCATCAGTCAATGGAGACCTTCTCGTTAGACAGATAGATGCGTTTAACCTCTGAACGTGCTATTAGTGTTACTGAAGATACCTCTTTCCTGGTCTTGACGTCTGTCTCTCCCTGGACAGGGGCCCATTAGCGGATGTGCTAGTTTAGTGCTCCCGATCTCTCCTTCCACCCTGGGACGACCTGACCCAGGGGATGGGAAGCAGGCCCTGGGCAGACAGCTCAGTTCCTCCCCTCGGGATATGGCTAGGAGAAGGAGCACTTGCTTTTCTTCCTCCTACCCTTGCAGGAGCAGGCCGGGGGCGGGGGGGGAGCGGTGTGAAGGACCGGTCTGCCTTGTTCAGCACTGCCGAACCTGGGTAGATACATCTGGATAATTCTGGACTCAGTGTTATGAAGCCTGCAGGCTCAGACATCAGCCCTCCCAGCTATCAAGTATCTGTGACAAAGGTGATTTCTTAGTCAGGTGTGGTGGTGTACACCTGGGATCCCAGCATCCTGGATTGCAAGCCATCTGAGCAATTTAGCGAGAACTTCTATACAAGTACGAAAGGGGCTGGGGATACAGCTCAGCATGAAGGCCCTGTATTCAATCCCCAGTACAAAAAAAGTGTGATTCTTTTTTTTTCTTTCACCTGCCTTACTCCTATGTCTTCCTTCCCACAGATTTATAAATGGGGGGAGGGAGCTAGTTATTGTTTCTTCAAATTACGTAAAGGTTTCCCAGCAATTATGTAAATAAAAACCATGAACTCAGTGTTTTGAAAGAGCCCAGGCTCTTCGATCAGACCTGGATTCTGAACAGAAGCTGTGAGCTCTTGGTGAAGCCACGTCGCCTGCCTCAAAGGGGCTTGGTCCTACTTTGGCACTCTAGAATGTGTCTCCTGTGGTTGGGAAGGTAAAAATAACCTATGCAAAGTACCTGGGGTGGATTGACAGCTGGTGGTCAACTTGTAACACCCAGCTGAACTGAACCAGCATGGTGCTGAGTGTGGGAGGCCCGCCCGAGGATTGTTGCCGGGGGCCTAAGAGGCAGAACAAGAAAAGAAGTTGAAAAGCTGTTAGGGAGTTGTTGGTTCTCTTGGGGCTGTTGGTTCTCCTGGAGGAGCTTGTCCTGCTGGCTTTCCTGATGTGAATGCAGCTGTTCTCACTGTCGAAGGAGCTCGGGACCTTGTTGCTGAGAATGGCTCGGTTCACTTTGGGGGAGCTCTGGTCCTTATTTTGAGCATCACTTCCTGGCTCCAGAGGGGAAGATGGTGCACTGTTCAATCTCCTGGAGAGGCTTTTTACTCTGGCTTTCCTGATATGGCCTCAGCTGTTCTCATTATTGGAGGAGTGCAGCACTTTGTTGCTGCCGAAGATGGCTGTGGTACTTTTCAGGGGAGCTCTGGTTCCTACTTGAGCGTTGCTTCCTGGCTCCAGTGCAGATCCCTCAGCCTGCTGGCACAGATCCTCCATCCCACTGCTGCAGACTTTCTACCTTCCACCACTGACCTTTGGGCCTTCCCAGTGCAGATCCTTGAGACAGACTTGCATGAGGCATTGTGATGGGCTCTAGGTCTTATCTGGACTCATGTAGGACACTGCTGTGGGACCCAGGTCCTCAGCTGAATTCCTTTGATCTTTAGTGTGTGGAAAGATTTCCTGCACTCTCTTTGTATATGACTCAAGTGACTATTATAAAATAATCCTATAAATTATGTGTCCTGTATTGTTTTCCTTGCAAACCCTGACTACAGCAGTACCTAACACAAAGGCCTACATTTCATAAACAGTACCTGGCAAAGCTCACTGTGGCGATGGTGCTGGTGGTGGTAAGCAGTAGTGATTCTGAATATTCAATACTGGGATAATTACACAATTATTTCTCTTTTCATGAAAACTTAACCTTTTATTTTTTAAATTATTTTTATTAACACGTTTGCAGTATATAATGATTTCATTCATCATGAGGATAACTGTACATAACACATTTTAATTCTTTTCATATCTCAGTCTCCTCCTCTTTTTGATGAGAACACTACACTGAAAAACCCGTCCAACTAACTAAAAATGACATCTGTCATGGAAAACACTGCATGCATACATTTTCGTCATTTAAAAATTTCTTTGGAATTCATGGGAGATAATGAGAACAATGGTAATTCTTTCCAGTTTATTATTCCCGGGATTATCCTAGCGAAAAACCTCACCGGCTTTGCGTTCTCCCTTCGTGCTGGTGGTGGTGAGGGTGCCGGAGTAACAGGTCAGGCGTCTCCGTTTGGTTGACTGCGTCTCCTCATTTTTAAGCTGGTGTCGCCGCATGGCCTAGTCCATGAGTCAGTGTAAGCTCTCTGCTCTCCTTCCCCTAGGCATCCTCCTGAGCACAGCTGTATCACCCTCCTGTATCTCTGCTGATTTCAGTTCACCGTTGGCAAAACTGCGGAGTGTTTTGTGGCTGGATAACAGATTTGTGAAAAGAACTCGTGTATGTTTCCACTGTTGTTCTGATGCATGCTTGCCAAGGTTCATTGGGTTTAGAGATTTCCACGTTTAGCCCAAATAAATGAAAAGCGACTATATCATTGTTTGACCCATAACTATTAGAAAATAACACAAATTGATTTAATATAGATTATGCTATTTGTTTTGCAGATATTCTTTTTCCATTTTCTTTGCTGTCCTGGAAGTTGATATTTGGACTCTTTTCTCTGCTGATGGTTTAGTTGTAAAGCAGGTAGGACTCTTCTTTTTTTCAGTTAGTGCTTTCATAGTTTGTATCACTCTTCCGCAAAATTACCCACCAGCAACAACATAAATAAAATGAGAACTGAAAAACAATGCTGGCGCTGACAGGAGGAAACAGTGTGTTTTGGGAAAGCATTAACGAGCCGCGTGGAGAGTACGAGAGCTCCACACTTTCCGATCTGTCACAGAGGCTTCCTAGGCAGCGCGGGTTCTTTCTGAGGAGCGCATTCACCTGCAACACAGGCCGTGGCGGACATCAGTGACATCACACACAACTCAAGAGGAAGATTTTCCTAACAGTTCAGTTTGGTTTCTGATGTAATAAAATCAAGTGACTTTCTTTCTCCTGTAAGCAATAAACACAACATTCTCTTGGATGCCAAGATCCAGATTGGGAATATAACTTGAGGACAAAGTGTTTGCTGGACTAAATACTTTAGCCAACATATTAATTTCAACTTTTTCAGTGGCAAATATCAAAGGCTCAACTTGAAATGGCTTAAGCAAAAATGTGGATTGATCAGCTTGTATTAGTCCACAGTTATATAAATTTATGCATGGTTGGTCTCAAGTGCTTAAACCAATGGTATTCAATACAAATATAATGTGAGCCAGAGGCCCAGCGATTTAGCTCAGTGGCACAGCACCTGCCTGGCAAGTGTGAGGTCCTGAGTTTGATTCCTGATACCAAAAAAAAAAAAAAAAGAGCCAGGTGTGGTGGTAGACACCTGTAATCTCAGCACTCAGGTGGCTGAGGTAGGAACACTGTCATGAGTTCAAGGCCAGTCTGCACTACATAGCGAGACCCTGTCTCAAAAAAAAAAACAAAATAAATAAATAAAATGTGAGCCATAGATGTGACCTACATGTCTGTGTTTAAATATTGCATTTGCTACATAAGAAAAAAAGAAAAATTAATTTTTCTAATACATTTTCTTTACCTCAATATATCTAAAATATCATTCCAATATGTAATCAATATAAAATGTTACTGATAAGCAATTTTATACTTTTATTCATACTAAAACCTCAAAATCCAGTGTGATTTTACAATTGTAGCACCTCTCCATTTGACCAGCACATTTCAGTTGCTTAGTAGCTGTAAGTGGCTACTGGCTATGATGCTTTGGGAAAATGTTTTCACCTTTTTCCCCCCTGGCTCTGGAGATTGAAACCAGAGTCTTCACACTGAGATACAGCCCCTGCCCCTTTTTTACTTTGAGACAGGGTCTCACTAAGTCACCCACATTAGGGTTGAATTTGTAATCCTCCTGCTTCAGCTTCCCATGGTACAGCAATTACAAGTGTGTGGTACCAGGCCTAGCTACACAGGTTCTTTTATACAACCTTTCCAATGCCCCCCAAAAACGAAAAATAAACAAATAAAGAACTCTCAAAGGGGATGGGTCTGGGTAGAGGTAGAAAGAGAAGCCAGAAAGCTAAGCTTAATAACCAAGATGTTTTAGGGTACTATCTCTAGAAAGGTCACTTTCTTTTCTGCATTACTGGACGTTGAACCCAGGACTTCAAGCATCCTAGACAGGTGCTCTACCTCTGAGGTGTGAGGGTATCCCCAGCCCTCACACCTTTGTAAGCATCAGCTTCCTTACGTATCTCCTGTTAGACTTTGAGTCACTTTGCAGTTCTCTGCACGGCAGTGGTTCTGCAATTCAGTAGTGACTTGCAGAATATTAGATACCATGGGAAAGAGCTCTTGTGTTTCTATTATAAGGAGGGTGGAGACGGTGCTTGGCCTGGATGCACTCCAAGAAGTGGAGTTTTACTGTGATCCAGGGGCAAATGAACTCCTAGCTTTCAGGGAGTTGGGAAAGTCTAATGGGGGTGAATAGCAGTGTACAGCTACTCTTTGAAGAAGTGACCTTATTATCATTTTAATATTTCCGAGACCTGCCAAAGCTGGATATCCAAGCTGAATAGCCCGTGAAGAGGGTGTTACAGAGAGCCGCTGTGAGGGCAAGGGGAAGGTGGTTGCCGGTCAGCTGGCCTGGTCTACACTCCTCTGGGAATCTCCCGGTGCCCCTCGAGTTCTCAGCTCCCACAGGCAGCCCCTCCAGCTACCTTCCTCCAGATCACAGCTCACCTACCACCTGTCCCGAGAACTGCCAGGCTTTGGAAGACCTTAGATCGCATGTTCCAAGAGCATCCTATTTCCTGTTTCTCACCTGTGATTCATTCTCCCAATATGAATTCAGCTTTGCCTAAAGCTGTGGTCTAGCACATTGAATCCAATAGGGAGAGAAAACCGCACAGTAACTTGAGGAGGAATTCAATACAAAATTGACAGGAAGAAGGGGATCAGGGTAATGAAGGACTGCTGAGTAAGAAGTACAGAGAATTCTAAACAACATAGAAAGAGCAAGAATACAGGACTCCTGCTAGGGCTGAGATAACCGGCCTAGAACAATGCCACTCTCATCCGACGCTAAAATTGTGGTCTAGGCGAGGGCACAGGGCGGGCCACTGGCGGGAAACAGGTCCCTGCGGCGTTGCACTGGTGGATGGCACTGGCTGGACACCTGCCACTGGAACTTGCCAGAAATTCCCCATCTGGGCTGATGGGAAAATGCCATCAGCAGCACTCCACCCTGAGGGGACAGCAAGGACGCCGAGTGCTGCTCGCCACCGCACCCTCCGACCCTGGACACTGGAGAAGCTGGAGAGTTCCAGGATCTGTCAGGCAGTGCACGGACGAGGAAGGAAGTCTCCTTGTGTTTTGCCACCACCTCCTCTACTGATAACACTTCAGGGTCAGCTGTTGCAGGAAAAATATATTTCAAGGACCCAGATCCCTTTGTCAGAGAACAGCTTAAAATAGTTAAAATGGAGCCAAGAGCCAATCAAATAGCAAGTTCACTGCTTCCCAGGTTTTTCTAAAAAGCACTAAGATGACATTTTTAAAGAGACACATCTCCATGTCTAATCTGCGGCACATACTTTATTCATTTCTACACAGGAGAAAGTGCTGTCAGGATGCAAATAAGTAAGAGTGATGTCATTCTAGAGATACTCTTAAAACTTGAAATGACACACCAACACCTCACAAGTGAGTTTGTTGGACATTTAGAATATTTTGATTTATGATGAATGTGGCAGAATGAACCTGGATTAACAAGCTTTCCATGAGTATAACAAAATGCCTAAGAAAATCAACTTATAAAGATTAAAGGGTTATTTTGGTCCAGAGCTTTGGAGGTCTCCAAGAAGAGAGAGGTGGAATCCATCCAGTCTTATCTTGTGTTATGGTCTGTGCCTGGATGTCCCCTCAAAGCCTCATGGGATCATGGGGGGTGGGCTTCTCAGAGGGGCTAGATCTAGAGTATGTGGCACATACTTTAGATACATTATTTAGTTAATTCTCATAATAACCTTGTGATGGTACTGCCACTGCTAGTAATGCAATTTTCATTCCACAGATCAGGAAACTAAAGTTTGTAAAGCTAAATAAAATTCCCGAGGTGACATAGCAAGAATGTCTCCATTCTTTTAAAAAAATTCTTTTATTGGCATGTGCTGGTGATATATAATGAATATATTCATCATGGCTGTTAGTACAGACACATATCACACTGTGATCCCACTTACTTCCCTCAAATTCTTAACATTATGCTATAAAGTCTTCTTGTTTAGAGCAACATCTTCATGTACACCCACAGAGAACAAGGACATGCCAATAAAGTTCTGTCTAAATGCAGGAAGAACCAGGTGACAGCACAGCAAAGCTGTTTAGATGGCTGGGTTACACCTGGCCGACCTGTGTACGCGGCATCATAGGGGTTTGTGTAAACCCAGCTCTGCCGCCCGCCCCTACAGAAGGGGCTGCAGATCGAAGGAGCTCACGTTTTTCACAGTGCTCTTAGTAACTACATATGTTCATTGAGACCAATCTGGTGAGAAATGAAGAAAAGGAAGCAGAAGAGGAGATAGGGAAAAGGAGGTGAAGAATAGGTAATTATCAAATGAATTTCAAAATGATACAAATCATACAAATAGCTAAGTTTTATTGAGTCCTCACTATGTGCCATGTGCCTGAATGATTTAATTTTATTCTCCCAACAATCTATAAAATAAGTGTCACTACTGCCCTCATTTACGTTTTCTTATTCTACCAACTGGCTGTCTTATAGGAAATTACTGCCTTTCTCTTCATTTTCCTTGGGAATACCTTCCACAGTGCTCCTGAATCACTTTTATTAGTGACTTTCCTCCCTCCCTCCCTTTCTCTGGGTACTAGCGGGGAAAGCCCAGGACCTTCACCCTGAGCTACATCCCTGATTTTAGTTTTTATTTAGAGACAAGGACTTGCTCAGTTGGCCAGTCTGGACTCAAACTTGCAGTCCTCCTACATCCACCTCGCAGAGTACTGGGATCACCATCACGTGCCACCACATAATGGTTTATATCTAGATGTCCTGCTGAAGCCTTATCATAGGCGGGGCTTTTGGGAGGTGACTGGACTATGGGACAGTGTAGCTAGCTTGCTGTAGGGAGGCAGGGACTGGGGCATGGCGGGAAGGGTCTCCCTGCTTCCTGGTCTCCTCCGTTCACTCTTTGCTTCCTGGCTGCTGAGCAGCGAGCAGCTCTGCTCCAACCCACCCCTGCCAGCCATGCTTTCCTGCCTTGGAGCCCGCTGCCTATGGACTAAAATGTGAGCCAAAATAAATCTCTCCTCCAATTAACCTGTGGGTGTCAGGTATTATGTCTCAGCAAGAAGGAAAATGATAAGATGTCGGGCTTGTTCCTTCTTGAAAATCTCTCTCTTTGGCCACTAATTGCTTCATTTTCCTCCTCCGTCTATTGTTCTTTTTATTTATTTATTTTCCTCCACTTTTGTCTTTGTAAACTTCTTTTCTGTTCTCATCCTGCTCTTCTTTTTCTCAGTTCACACATTCTCTCTTCTCTGATACTTCCAATCACATCCATTCTTATACTTTAAATATCTTCCCCTGTAAATGGTGATCCAAACTTAGCCTACTGGACATCTGTCTGAACATCCCACATATACTCAAATTTGACTTGTGAACACTGAATTATATTCTTCGTTTACTGCCCAAATCTCTTCTCTCTCTTATTTGCTCTTTTTGTTTTTACTCAGTGTATTAGTCAGGTTTTTGTTATAACAAAATGCCCAAATCAAGGCACTTATGAAGAAAAGAGGCTTGTTTGGACCTCTCTTTTAGAGGCACAAAGCACAGGCTGTGCAGCAAGAGGTGTCCTTCATCCCTCAGCTGCAGATCTCACGTGGGCAGAAACAGTGGAGCACTGCAGGCCGGAAGGCAATGAGCCAGGCAGGGCTGGACTCCTAACTGCCCTCTGTAGGAACTCCCCCGGACCCTGGCTGTCTCTGCAAGCTTCAGCGGAAACACTCAGTCTCGCCATCTCGGGCTTTAAACCTCCAGTCACGTGGACTCTGCAGAGAACAAAGGAATCATTTCTAAACTATCAAGCTCAGTCAGTGTTGGGCCCAGGTGCCCATGCCAGAACCTTGCTGTCCTTCCTGGCAGTGCTCTGTCCCCTCCCCTCATATCCAAGCTGCAGTGCCCTGTGCAGCCTACCCCATCACCTTGCAAACTCACCCATCTCCCCCTTTTCACCGCGCCCGCTCCAGTCTAGGTCTTTTTCTCTCCTTACTGAGCAGGACAGAAGCTGCTGGGAATCCCACCACAGTAAATTCATTAACTGGGCACATGGTCTCACAGCACACTACATTTCCTAGCCATGCTCGAAACCAGGCCACGGGAACACATCGACACGCTGAAGATCCAAGCTGATGGGACACAGAGATCCCAGGTTACAAACTTAAAGGGAGTCTCATGCCGGTCTCCATTCCTCTCTCTCGGGCTGTGGTGCATCCACGGTGCTGGTGACCCGTCCTGGAGCCTAAACAGTGAGGCACCAGCAAAGGGCCAGTGTCCTCCAGTCAACCCCGCATGGCGCAGCCCAGATTAAGCCAGGACAAAGCTCTTCTCTGGTGTGAAATACTGCTGCTTGGGTTCCTGCTGTACAGTGACGGACCCATTCCCTGAGATTAAAGCCACAGCTGCTGATCGGTCGCTCTGCCTCGGAACATACCATTACTCTGCCTGGAATGCTTGCTCCCACACTCACCAGTTTCCCTGCCTGGCTAGTTTCTGCTTCTCCACTGAGATTCGGGTTACTGCCTCCTGGATGTTTTTCCTGACCAGGATCAGCTACAACTCCATCTTAGGTATCCCCAAAGTATTCTGTGCGTGCAAGTATCAGAGAATTGCCTGCTTACTTGCCCTCCTCCACCCCTATCTACTCTACTTCTTGGCTCGGAAGAATTATTTCTCGTGCAAGTATCAGAGAATTGCCTGCTTACTTGCCCTCCTCCACCCCTATCTACTCTACTTCTTGGCTCAGAAGAATTATTTCTCTTTCTCAGATGTATCTCCAGACCCCAGCAGAAACCTTGACACACAGTAGTACTTAAACATTTACTTAGTGATTCAGTCAACGAATAAATGGATTCCATGACGTCATGAAAACAGCGTTTCATGGAACATAGACTTAAGCTTCGTACCTTGTCCTGCTACTTTTGGATGGTTTTAAGAGAAATCACTTCACTTCACTTGAATTGATCTAGGTAAGTTCTGAGCTTCCATCCACATCTATGATTTATAAGGACATGATCTAGGAAAGTAAATGTATGAGCTGAGAGATGGAAAGGACGGGCTAAGTAACGCTTGTGTTAAAAACTGCACTTTGAAAAAGCATGCACAATTAAGCTTTTATAGCAACATTTAAGTTCTTTCTACTTACACTTTAAAAGCAATTTTTGCATTATCAATTACTTTTACAAAACCCTTCAGAATATATAATCTTTGAGGGGTAGAGAAGATGACTTTCAGTCATATAACAGAACTTAATGAAAGCAGTTAGAAGGAGGCACAAAGCAGAGGTAGAATCTGATTCAAAGTTCTGAATGCTAGGATGTCCCACCTTCTATAAAATACTCTTGTGATATTACAGAACTGAATCAGTAAAGAAAGCAATGAACTAACGCAAACTGTATTGTTTTGTTTTGTTTTTTTTTTTCCCCTCCGGTACCAGGAACCGAACTCACGACCTTGCGCTTGCCAGGCAGGCGCTTTGCCGCTGAACTAAATCCCCAGCCCCGCAAACTGTAGATAGATCAAAACAGCAAATACCAAAGCTAAGGTGGAAGATGACAGTCCATTTTAGCATCACCTAACTATGTGTCTAGCAATATTCAGGGGTAATCATCTACCTTTCTTCCACCTTTAACCAAGGTTATACCTAAGTAGTGCCCAAGCAGACAAGTTATACCTTAACATATTTAGCAAAAGAGTATCTTACAATTCCTTTTCTTTGTTTTTTTTTTTTTTTTTTTTTGGTTTTTTGGTTTTTCTCCGGTACCGGGAACCGAACTCACAACCTTGCGCTTGCCAGGC